ACCCGGGCTTAAGCCCAGTAAGCCACCCCCACGCTCCGCCCCTGGTGCAGCCCCTGATCACATGAGGATCCATAAATCAGAAAACTTCAGGGCAACATCCTGATTTATGAACCACTTATTGAACAAGAGATTGGATGGTGGTGTTTCCAGAGGGAAGCTAAGGTTAAAAATAACACAAGAATGGTCACTCACTTGTACATCCTTAACACAGAGATTAGTTATGTCTAAGCAAAGAGAAAACACGAGGTCCAAGGTGTGGCCTTTAACGTGAGTGGGACCAGAGACATGCTGAATAAAATTAAAAGAGTCAGAGGCCATGCTACAGCTAAGATCATCCACATGCAGGATGAAATCGCTGATCATCAAGACTTTCTCCAGTTTAATAATGGAGGATAAAAAGTCTGTGAAATCCTGGATATAAACACCAGCGGGGCCGGGAGGGCGGCAGATTAAAACACAGTAAAATATATTTGATGAACCGACCTTAAGAAACTGTGACTCAAAGAAAGGGAAAGTCTCATAGTCCAAAGCTCTGCAGGAGAAACTGTCCCGGAAAACAGTGGCAAGTCCAGCACCACCATATAATATAAGGCCTAACTTAAATGGTTGTTTTTTGTTTTTTGTTTTAGTTTGATTAAGTGTGTTAAGCTGTGTCAGCAGATATGTCTATAACACTTAGTTGCACTTGGTAGTAATGATAAATCCATGGCGGACAAGTCCACATTGTTTCCATATCCCATTGATTTCTTCATGTGTCTGGAAGGACTGCAGGTAGAGTGCAGGTCACAAACATACAGTGAAAAGTGGAAAGAGTACAATTTCTACAGATAATACACACTGGCCACTATTTATGGTCCTCATTCTTGTTAATAATTTAAAATGTGCTTGTTAACTTTTTTTTTCTTCTTTCGAAGTGTATGGCAGGAAAAGTTTTGCTTTTATTCTTGCATCTAGACAAAAATTAAATATCAAGCTCCATATTAATTCATGTGGGAATCTATAACGAGCCCTTGATAAATATAGAACTGTAGCTGAAATGGAGAAGCCAGTAAATTCATATCAAATGTTACACCCTGAATATAAAAGTCACTCAGCTGTAGCTGCTGATTAGATTTCTTCCTCCACAGCCAAGGTACAAAACACTAGCAGGTTAAAACACTGTGACTTCACATTGTTGTAGGTTTTGTTGATCATTTTTTTTTTGTTTTGTTTTTTTCAAAACATCTGCATTTTCACTATAAAATGTTGGTACTTTCCTTAGTTTATGGTTATGGTTTATTGGTGTCAGTTTTAGTTGTTGTTGTTTTACACACCATATTTGAAAATGAATGAAAAAGGTTGTTTTTTTTTATGCAAGAGAACAAGACAGAATTTGATTACTGAATATTTCAATTGAAGGTAATGTGTTTTTAAAAGCGTAATTTAATTTAATTTTGTGTTTGTTTTTCTTTTTTTGTTATCATGAAGCATTTTTAATCATATTTTATTTTTATTGATTTTTTTTCAGGCAGAAAAAAAAGTGTAATAAGTATGTTCATTCAGCTTTAACATACTGGGACACTTATCATGTTTCATTGTCAGTGTTTTCTCTTTTAGGTTTCCCATTAAGTAAAGAGAATGGAAAAAAACAAAACAGTTTCAACCGATATTCTGGAGGTCCAAGGTTTTGACATTTCTCCACAGTTAACGTATCCTCTCTTTTTCTTACTGCTCTTTGTTTACTTCACCCTGCTTTTTTCTAACATTGGAGTCCTTTTGCTTATCATTTCTCAGAAGAGTTTGCACCAGCCAATGTACTTTCTGTTTTGTAACCTGTCTGTCAATGATCTCATAGGTAACACAGTCCTGCTGCCTCAGCTAATGGCTCACATCTTGGCAACCGAACGGTTTATCACCTACAAACAGTGTGTGGTTCAGGCTTTTCAAAGTCACACATTTGGATCGGCTTCACATATGATCCTCATCATTATGGCAATTGATAGATATGTGGCGATATGCCACCCCTTAAGGTATAGTTCCATTATGACAACCAGAACTGTGGTTGGGCTGTCCGCAGCTGCCTGGGGGGTGTCAGTAGTGCTTGTGTCTATATTAATAGGTCTTACTGTGAGGCTGTCCCGCTGCAGATCCACTATACAAAATTCTTACTGTGACAATGCATCACTATTCAAGCTTTCTTGTGAGGACGTGTCCATAAACAACATCTATGGACTCTTTTTCACTGTGCTGCTGTTTACTAGTTCAATTGCAAGCATAGCTGCCACCTATTTTAGAATTGCTCTCATTTGCTGGATTAAGAAAAACAAAGACTTAAATAACAAAGCGCTGCAAACATGTGCAAGCCACCTTGTTCTTTATCTGATCATGCTCTGGTCAGGATTTTTAACAATTATTTTGCATCGTTTCCCAAATTACCCAGACTTAAGGAAAATTGCATATGTTTTATTTCATGTTGTCCCTGCTAATCTGAATCCAATAATTTATGGAATGCAAATGAGATCATTAAGACATAAAATTACTGAAATACTAAAAAGAAAAGTGACTCCATCCTAATATTTTTTATCTTAAATTTACAGTACTAATAATAATACATTTTATTTATAGGTGCCTTTAAATACCCTGAAGGTCACCTTACATTAGTACAAAATAAATAAATAAAGTAAGGTTTTCAGTGGTTGCAACTAAAAGGTACCTATTTTAGATTAACCTTTTCTTTTAACTGTAGTTCCAGTTCCTTTTGAAAAGTCTTTCAACAGCTCAATAACAATAACAACAGCATAAAATGACAAGACATCAGAATGAGTGACGCATTAATTTTCCTCCCACCCATGTATTCAAATCTAAATGTTTTCTACCAACCTTTTTTTTAAGTGGGGCCAGGCCTACACACTTCTATTGATTGATTGCTGAAAAGCCATTAAAATAATATCTATGACAGAGCATAAAATAAATAAAAATGTCCTGATAATCAGTATCACTATGCATGTATTTGGAGCTGAGTAATGCATTTGTTTTCAGTAAGCTTGTGGGGTTTTTTCTGTGTAGTCATTGTTAATAACTTACAACCCAAAACTTATGCTCAAAAAGTTAGTAATGTTTTTTTTTTAACTTTAATAGAGTATCACAATACAAAATGTATTGTACATATACCCATAGGGAATATATTTTCAGTTGTTTATTATGTACCCTTGCAACTATTATTTTCCATCTAACGCTAACTGAAGCTTCTGAGGCTTCTTTTTCATATCCTATTAATAACAAAAGGCTTTTAGAGTTTTTTAACTAATTTTACTCATAAAAGCCAACTAAGATTACTGTGTGGCTAAAGATAATAAGAAATGCCAGTGATAAAATATTTCTTTCCTTGGCTGTTTGGATCAACTTAATCAATTCAGTTCTTCATTCTAATCCATTATCAACACTGTTCTGTATTGTTTGGCATCATTGTGTTCAAGGAGTTGTCTTTCACACCTTCAAATTAGGACCATCAGATAGAAGGAAAACATTTTTTACCAGAAATATATTTCTGAATTTAAAAAAAAAAGAAAAAAGAAAGTACCATTGTAATCCCCCTAAAATACTTTCCTTGTCTTTCTGCATGCCACATGCACCTGGATTATCCAGGACAGATTATTTTCCCATGACATTTTACTGTAATTCTTCTCTACTTCTGTTAATGTGACATTGCATTGTAGTGCATTTCCTAACAGTTTAGAACAGAGTACTGCTGACTAAGCATTCAGACTATTTTCCTTTCTGGTCGAGATTAAAGAGGGCTATCCCTCTCTAAAACATATAGATGAGGGATTATACCAAGAGCTAAGCTAATGGCTGCAAACTATGAGATTTCACGGTTAATGCATAAGCGTTACACTAGCGGCATCATCATAAGCATGTTATATGTTTTAGAGAAACTGGTAACACAATTTCTATCAAAGGGTCTTGTGCTAGTATAATTATTTTATACCCATGCCAGCTGTTATATTTTCATGGATTTATAAATTAGTCAAACAAGCCATGTGAAGCATTAAAAGAGCATTGAACCCTCTCAGGGTTCACTGGAGGCCTTACTTTCTCAGGACACCACCATAACCATAGTAACTGCTTTTGATTTAACTGCTTTGTCAGATTTTGGGTTGGAGGAGGGCTGGAGCCTATTTTAGTGAGGGGTGGGATAAACCCTGGGCACATCACCAATCTATCACAGGGCTATTCAGCTGATTTTAATCTCTGCAATCAACCTGACACGTGTGTCTTTGGACTGAGGGAGCAAGCTGTTCGCCCAAGAACAGGGAGAATATAGAAGCTCCACACAAAAAAGCCTCAGGTGCTGACTGTTTTGAATGAAAAACCCTCTTTCTGTGACATGACAATGATGACCACTATATAAAAGTTACTGTCACATCACGGGTTCGTGAGGTCCCATTTTGGACCCTCTATTTGAAAATTATGGGCATTACCATTTAGGCTTTTTGGAGACAAAAGTGACAACATTAGGTTCATTCATAGATCTATAATTAACCTTGCATTACAGATACCTGCTAATTAGTGCAGATACCCAGTCTCATTAAGTGAGCAATGCGTCTTTAACACTTTAATACCTCTTGCACAAGTCACAGTGCATTTTAAATGGGTGAGCCATAAAGTAATAAGAAATAATTCAAATATATAATAAATCACCCTGTAAATGGGAATTTTTCCCATAGAGACTTAAATGGTTTATGAACCAGGACGAAAACATGTTTATTTCTGCTCAAAAGTTGTGTTTTTCAACAGTCAGTCTCAAGTGGCTAATTAAGTATTCAAGGAAACTGCAAGTAACAGTTTTTGCTGCTTAAATGATCTGTATGTTTATTTCATCACTTCACTATTTCGCTTTGTATCAGTAAATTAATTGATTCTTTTCTGGAATGTGGACATTTTAAATTTTCCTGCAACAATAAGACATTTCTTAAGCAACAGCGGATAATATTTATTTGTTGCTTGTTGATATTAGTTTATGAACACCTTAAATAAAGGGGAAATAAAAGTTGCTGTATAGAAATTAATCTGTATTTTATTTTTTAAAAGAAGAACTCAATAGTGAACAACTGAAAAAATATCATTATCATAAAATATATAGATTTGACAAAAGAACTTCCCACTTCTTGGGTGAGTGGAATAACTTTCACATAGCAAGGGGAGAAAGTCCATAAACAACAACTTTATCAAAGATTTAATTCTACTCACAAAAAGGTTTGTAATAGGAGATGAAATCTCAAACATTCCTGGAAATATGAGAAACTTTTACAGAATCTGATAATACTGGATTATTCCTGTCCTAACCTGGAATAATCTTTATGCTATTAACAGCATTTCATGCTGTCACCAAACCTTCTGAAAAGGTCTGCAGTTATATGGTTTTGCCCATGATGAGAAGGCTCATGAAAAACACCATAATGAAAAAAATCCACATGAAGAAGCGGTCTAAAACTTTGGCCACCTTCTTCCACTCTCCAGTCCTTTTCTGCGTGGCCCTCTGATCTCTGTGGCAGTTGGCTATATACTCTATGTTACGCAAGAGCTGTGTTTCATTGCTTTGGATGCTGCAGGAAATCTCTCTGTCTTTTTTGTCTCCATCACTCACTCCTCCCTTCCTGCATCTCCTCCCCTCCCCTGAGTCACCACAGTCCAGGCTTGCAAAAATGCCATTCTTCCAAGAGCTGTAGTTGCTAGTAGGGTTCTTCCCGATTGAGCCTATAGGAGACAGCATCTGATCCATGTCTTCTTTTTCCTCTGTGGGCATAGGTCCCACTATCTCTTGTCCTCTCTCCATTCTGAAGATGCAGTCCTCTCTACCCGGTCCTGCCTGACCATTCATGGTGCAGTTGGTGTTCTGTACAGGAGGAGGCTCCTGTTTCTCTGGCTGAGGTGACATGCAGTTCTCCCCAACTTCATACACAAAGCACATTCTGGCCATGTACTGCAGAATGACTTTCTTGGCCCATTTGGGAACAGGCTTGGCATCAGGGCCACAGTGGTGTATGTTCATGACAAATATGGTCAGAGCAGTGGAGGCTGTAATCATTGTCATTGTTGCAATGTAATATTTTCCTGTGGAAGGAAATAAGATGAGAAAATCTGTGAACAGATTTGTAGTGCATTACTATCACACATACTGGGATTTGATTCTTACCAATTAGTGGTACATTCTCAGAGGGGGGCATGATCTCTGCAACCAGTAACTGAAAGACAGTGAGTGCCAGCATTACTGTGACACCCAATGACACCTTCTCTCCAGAGTCAGCAGGAAGGTAGAAACCAAGTGGTGCCAGAAAAGAGATCATCACACATGGTATGAGCAGGTTGAAGACATAGAAGGATGCTTTCCTCTTAAGTTTCAGTGTGTAGGTCACATCTGGGTATGGGTCAGCACAGCAACCATAAAGAACAATGCTCTTCTTAGCCGGCATACCAAGCACCTCCCACTCAACGTTTTCCACCAGGTCAGCCAGGTCAGCACTCTCCATTGCATTAAGGATGTCAAGCTGGTTACCGTTGTAGGTCCAGGAGCCGTAGGTGAACCGGCATTGCTGAGCATCAAAGGGGAAGAAAGACACATCCACTTTGCATGAGCTCTTAGTGATTGCTGGAGAATCCCACATTATCTGTCCATCATGTCGAATCACCACATTGGTGTCCATGGGACCAGTGAAATGATCATCTGCGCTAAAAAACAAAGAAATCATTGCTGAAAAAACAATGTTCAACAACGCTGTAAATTCATACTAGGAGCAAATTTTGAATAGGTCTTTTACAAAAACAGCTTTGATTAGTTTCAAACTGGAAAGGCACAAGTACACTAGGAAAGGATTGTGTCTGTTTTTATTGCTTTTCAATAATATAACATGATTATGTTTAATGTTTCAGCATCCTTTAGTTTCAATGACACTTTTAAACCATGGGAGGCATCATTATATGGAATTACTTTACACCTACTTACCTAATACTTTCTTGCACTTTCAATCACTTTTCTAAAATTCAAATTTTATGGTTTTGTTTTTATAGTTGCCTAGACTGTTATATATGCTGCATTATTGGACTATAAGAAGCAGTCGGCATAGGCCTGTACACCTACAAATGACAGCTTCAAAGCATGTTTAGCTTGTGTATTTCATATTGGGCAGAATGTCGTCATACAGTATTGAATTTGTGAACTCTATGCCCATCCAACCTACCTGTTATAGAGAACTATATCAGGTCTCCATACATAACTACCCGGTATGCGGATGGTATCAAGGCCGTCATAATCATCTTTATTCCATTTAAGGTGTGCATCAAACCACACTTGCCGTATCCATAAATATGCAGTTAGAATTTGGTTTCGCTCATCCTGTAATATATTGAGAAAGGTGATCATAAAAGGGGAATATTACAGTTAAAACAGTAAAAATAAAAAATAAAACACAATAAAATAAAATGCAAAACAGCAATACTGTCACGGTCCGGGGCAGCGGCCGTGTGGAGAGTGGAAGGAGGACCCAAAACGCAGCACTTATTCAGGTGTGAGGGTGATTTATTGTTAATAACGAACACAAAGTGGAGATGGCAAACAGAACTAAGGGCGAAACTAGACTGGGATAAACTACACAGAGGAGTGGCAAACCTGAACATGAAGGGAGAACAGCAGGGAGAACACGCAGAGGATTACACCAGGTAGGAACACAGAGGATGAACACAGGGTATGTACACAGACGACGCGACGAGGAGCAGAGGAAATCACACACTATAAATACACAAAGAGACACTGGGAGATCACACACAGGTGGGAGACACAGCTGGACCTGATTAACCTGACGAGACAGGGGAACACTAACACCAGGGACCAATAGAGGGAGCACAAACCCAAAACCCAGTATCTAAAATCCCAAACACAAACCATCCCAAAACAGCCATGAATAATAATGAAAGTAATAACAATAAGTGCATAAACATAAAGTCACTGAGTCATGGTCGCAGGACCATGACAAATACAGATATATGTGTATCTGCATGGATCAATTTCACTCATACGGTTATGTGCACTGTGGGAGCTTACCATGTCAATTATCTGGGAGAGTGTAACCTGTAGAGTTACATTCAGGATGGTGTTTGTGTCCTCTACAGGCCTCAGTGCGCTGGTGTAGTTTGTGAACAAATCCTTTAGGAGTTTCTGAGCATATCTTCCATGAGCACACCAACAAGCTAGGGCAAGGAACAAAACAGTTTAAAGCTATGTTAACACAAAACATGTGATGCATTTCAGTATTCATGTATTTCCATTTTAATCGAGAAAAATATGTGTTTGCTATGAAAGGCATGCTGGTGTGATCACGGATCATTAGATTTTCAAGCCAGTGACATGCACAGCAAAGGCAGTGCTGTGGATTTAGAGGGTTGCAAGAAAATGGAAAAACATGTGGGGCATGTGAGACAAAATATGGATGGTACAGCAGATGGTGGTAGGGAACAAAGGGCAATGGCAATCTATATTTCCCTTCTATAAGGCTCTAGAAATAGACCAAACACATCTGCCAACATGTGCCAACAGTGACTTTCGCTGCTAAAGCTCAGTATATAGAGTGCAACATGCAACATTAATCCAGTGAACAAACAACAAATAAAAATGAGCCTAAACCTGGAGGCAAAGTATTGGGAAATATTCGTCAAACGCACGAAGCCATTATTCACGCATTAAAATAAAATCTAATTAAAATAATCACTCATCAATCAGGAAACGAGCAGGAAGAGTTTTCAACAGGAAACGTAGTTTATAGCACTAAATTTATTCCCAGTGTCAACAATGGATTTGGACTAACCAGATGTTAACCTCGAGTCCTGTTTCAATAAAGCCTCTGAGCTGGATGCAAAGAAGGTCTACAGGATTATGATGACAGCAAAATCCCCAAACAGCTGGCAACAAGTTTGCGGATTGCGGGAAACAGCTTGAGGGGGAGAGGAAATATGAGGTGAAAAGGATGTTCTATAAAATATAATAGATGCAATGAAATACAGATGACTGGGATCACACGTCCAACCACACTTTATAGAAAAATGTTATCTAAAGCTTTCTTCTCTGCTAGGACAGTTTTAATATAGTTCCCTTTCATATGATATTAAACCAACCTAAATAGGAACGCAAAACTGATCGACATACCGACATCGTTTTAGATTATACGAGGTAAACAGAAAATAAAACGAAAGTAAACTTACTCGGCAAAATACCGACACACAGCAGCCAGCGGAATAAAGTCTGGATTCTCCATTGTTTCATCTTGCTGAAGCAAATGCCCTCCATCCGAGAACCATTTGAACTGCTCTGTCCCCAAACACGTTTTATTCGCCGAAAATAGTCTTTACAAAAACACACCGATGGGGGAAGTCAGCAGCGATGTAATCCGGTGCTGTACAAGCCCAACAAGCGCTCGGGAAGGGGCGGGACAGAACGAATCCAGCTGATACCACGTGTACACCCTGCACAAACACGGCGAGTTAAAGGTGGTGTTGTGTATTATCTTTGATGGGGTTTTGGTGGCGAATTAATGATAATAAGAACAGTCCCCTGTTTGCTGTGATTCAGCACCACGGTGAGCTACCGGCAACTAACAAACAAATAATAACACATTTCTCGCTCCTTGTCTTCGGGCTAAATCTGGCCAATGATTTTTATTTTTATTTTAAAGATAATAATTACATAATACATAATTTGCATTATGTCGAAATATATATGCTGTAGCAATCACAACACTGTCCTCCTCGACTTTCTCTTCCGGGTGCTGGTGGTCCCCACCTACTCGTTTTACACGACAAGGATGCTACATGCGCAGGCCCGTTATCATCTCATCGGAGCATTCATCTGAGGTCGCGTAATGCAAACAACAAAACAAACACCCCCTAAAATGCGGGAATTTAAAATGACTGGATGAGCCGAGCAGTGTTTTAGGCGATCGACGATAGCTGATTGAGAAATGCACGTCCACCGCCCTGCATACTTAAATATTATTGTTACAGCGTAGGTATTGTTGGGAGAGACCACTGGCAAACAGTAAACAGGGTGAAGGTAGGATGGATTTAGCCATTACATGTTCAGTAAATTCACGCGAATGTTTTAAATCTGAAATGTTCCCGAGTGGTTCAAGATAAATATTGACCTTATGGATGTACTTGACATGTTTACTCATCTCCAGTCTATTTTCTTCTTACCTAGCATAGCTACAGATGCCAAGAGCGTTATATCCCGTATGTGATCATCTTTACACGATTGTTTCTTTTCCCGCTGTCGCAATCTAAAATGCTACAAAGTTCAAATATTTTGGGGCATGAAAGACCCCTGGTTATTAGGGTATCATTCGCCACCTGTGTTCTGGCGACTGTGTGCCTACCCCTGCTCGGGCTCATCACTTGTGTCTTCATATCCTCTGTTTTTCATTTTGAAGATGCCACTGGTACACACTGCCAGGTAATGTGTATGTTTAGTTCTATGGTAGTAGTTGCAATACCTTATTATGTATTGATTATATATTTTTAACCTAAACAAAATTCTTGATGTGTGTTTAGGTTCCTAATTACCTGCCATCTATAAGTGCCTCTATCAGCTTAAGTCCTGAGTGCCACATTTGGCGATTCTGCATTGGACTACACTCAGCGCCAAGGTTACTGGTGGCTTTTACCTACTTCAAGTTTTACAAGGCTCGCTTTGCTACCAGGTTTCCAGAGAGTTTACTCAGCTGTTTAAACCTGGGCTTTTCTATATCTGAAAACCTTGGACTCTTGTTGCTCACATACGTATCATCCACTGAAACTTACTGTGAGTATTCTGAATTTAGTTTGCATTTTTGTACAGGCCTTGTCTGCACAAATATAGTGTAATACTATAATAATAATACTGATAATACTATTACCTATTCTTGGACATTAAAAACAAGCAGTTTCAGTTGTGCTAAGTATAATATGACTGGTGGTTGGTGCATTTATGTAAAGTTTAATAACATATTATCACAAGTTCTCCCCATTTGTTGGTCAAATTTCCCTTCCTCTTTGTGTTTTTGCTCCTTAGTTGTGCATAAGGAAGGTTTTGTCCTGTTCATTGTAAGTTCTCTAATCTACATGTTGATAACCTGCCGTTTATGGAAATCTATTAAGAAATATTCCTTAAGTCCTGAGGTAAGAAATAACAAATGAGGCACTAGAACTTAAAAACTGCCATATCATTTGTAGAATTACAGTCAATTTCAGTATTTGTTTACTTTGTTGTGCCCTCACAGGATGCCAAGTCTCACCACTGGAAAGTGCGTTTCTTACTTCTCAATGTATGTTTCTGTGCTTTTGCCGGATTCTTTTACTGGAAACACAACATGTACTGTGAATCAGGGAGTGAGTATTTAACCCATCCTTATGTTTCTGTGTGGATTGTGTGCTGCTTTATTAATATTAATCATCAACCATCATATTTACAGTAATGCAAATATTCACAATATTCTGACCAAATTATATTTTTTCTGTACTCTGTTTCTTCTTTTATCAGGTTACACATTCTTTGCCCTGTTTGAGTATCTAGTTGTTTTCTCCAATATGGCCTTCCATCTTACAGCCGTGTGGGACTTTAAGAGCCGGGAGGTCATGCTCATTTCATCTTCAGAGGATAAAGACTTCTGACTAGAAAGTCAAGGACTAGGTACTACATGTACCACCCCCCAACCACCTGATGATAGCAGCCTTGATCCTGCTGAAGCGGAAGAGTGGGATGAAGGCCTTTTCCATATATTTCCATGATGACCAGTCACAAATCCTTAGTGAGTGATGATGTCTGACAAATGAACATAAGATATGCACATGTGCTACTGTAGGGGTATTAGGATAACTTTAAGTGCATTCTTTTGCCTCAGTGTCTCATTCATGGATGCCTTCACCAACCTACATGATGTTATGTAATGTGACATTTTAACTTTTATACACTGCACAGCAAATTTGTGGTCATACTAGAAATGTGCCAAAGTAAAGTGATAGTTCTTCAAGTATGCTTGGCTTTTATTTTGAAATATAAACTCAAGGATAGGAAATGGATGCATTCTGAATTCTAAGCCTTAGTGTCCAGCTTCAGAAACTGTCACGGTCCGGGGCAGCGGCCGTGTGGAGAGCGGAAGGAGGACTCAAAACGCAGCACTTATTCAGGTGTGAGGGTGATTTATTGATAATATCCAATATAAAGTGGGGATGGTAAAACAGAACTAAGGATGAACTAACTGGGAGAAACTACACAAAGAAATAGCAAACCTGAGCATGAAG